CAACCAGAGGCTCTGCTATGACCTGTCTCAGGCTTCTCTGATGCTCCTCAATTCATTCCAATTGATCTATCAGTTGTTCAAGTTAATTGCCAGTCTTTAATACACTTGGTGCTTACCTTTTCTCTACAATTCTCCCAAGGATGTACTCATCCCTTTGGAAAAGGCTGTATTTATTTATCCTGCAAACCCAGGGACCTTGATTCAATCTAGTGCTTTCAAAAGTTTAACAATCTCAGAAGATTACTTCATTAGTAGTTCTGCTTATAAGCTGCCTTTCTATTCTAAGTTGTCCACATTTGACCCACATAAATCAGAGAAAGTGGGGAAAAACTGATTGTTTAGTAAAATAATAATACATTTTAAAAAGAAAATTTTAAAAAACAAATACAAATGAAAAATAAAATTAAAAATAATGTTTGAAAATCACCTTTCCCATTTACTTTATATGGCTTCTGAAATTCCTAGCATTGACACACCCTTGAGATGGACAAAAGCCCATGTGTAAAGCCCATGTGCGAACTGTGGGTTAAACACATTATACCCTTAGCAGCCTTTTTAGTCTGAAACAGAAATCAGATTTATGCCAGTCACCTAGAGCAGCAGAGGGCTTGTAGCTCTTTAAAATACTAAAAACTGCACTGATTGCTTTATATTATAATGACATTTAGATTTTTAAGACTATTGCTCATTAAAATTTTAAGTAGGACTCACATACTTTTATATATTTAAAGCAACGTAATCCAAACTTTTAGGCAATGGATAACCAGAAGCACACAATTTTAAGCTAAAATTCAAAGTTGTCATCACAATGTAAAGCAACCAGTGCAATTATTAGTATTTTAATTTTTTAAATAACCCTCTTATTAAAAAATAACTCTGTCACCCAGGCTGGCGTGCAGTGGTGGTGATCAAAGCTCACTGCAGCCTCAGACTCCTGGGCTCAAGCAATCCTCTTACCTCAGCTCCTGAACAGCTGGCACCAGAGGTGCAATCGGCTGTGCCTTGCTAATTTGGGGATTTTTTTTTTTTTTTTTTTTTTCAGATAGGGTCTCCTTATGTTGCCCATGCCTGTCTTAAACTCCTGGCCTCAAGTGATCATCCCACCTTGGCCTCCCAAAGTGCTGGGATTACAGGCATGAGTAATGCGCCTGGCTAAAAGTAACACTTTTGTTTCATAATACTTCCATTACCCCAAAGAGAAATATTTACTTCAAAATTTAAACTTGTTTAGAGGAATGCAACAGACTATGAGAATAAATTTTCAAAAGAAGGCTAAAATTCAAAGTGAAAATCATAGGTAAAAATAAGATCTTCAATTGACTCAACTCTTTTCTTTTTCATTGACCATGTAAGATTCTCACCCGTATAGTACAGGTTTCAATATGCCAGAGGGGAGAAACTGTATGCTTATGGTTATTCATTACCCAGATGTTTGGATTATTTGCCTCTTTAAACATATAAAAGTATGTGAGGCCTACTTAAAATTTTAATGAGCAATATTCTTTTTTTTTTTTTTCTTTTTCTTTATAGATTACTCAGTCTTGGATACGTGAGCAATATTCTTTAAAAATCCAAATAAAGAATAGTTTATACAAATATATCAAAGTTGCCTTTGGCTGAAAGCTTCTCTAGACATTGAGAAAGGAATATTTTCTAGGATTAAATTTCTCCTTAGGTGCCTTAGAAAGTCTTTGTTAATTGTTGAAATTTTTTTTACTTTATGTGGCAGATTTTGGTTATCTTCACCCACTATATATATTCCACCTTTTAATCTTATGGAAAAACCTTCTCTTTTTGTTGTTAAAAAAAAAAAGTTTGTTTTATATTCTTTACTAAAAAAGAGCTGCTGTCAAAAATAATTCCCCTTACATGAAGTAAATTATTCTTATAAATTCTTTCTTATGAATCAGCATTAGAATCACTGAGCATGTTGCTTTTCCCATGGCCCAGTGGTTTCACCACAGGACTGGGTCCTTGATTATTTTTCATTATTTGATTCTTCATTGCTCCCAAACTTTATTCTTATTTTTAATTAATTAATTAATTGATTGATTGATTTGTAGAGACAGGCTCTTGCTCTGTTACCCAGGTTGGGGTATAGTGGTGTAATATGGTTCACTGCAGCCTCAAACTCCTGTCCTCAAGGGATCCTCCTGCTTTCGCCTCGCAAAGTGAGGGGATTATAGGCATGAACCAGCATGTCCCACCTGCTCTCAAACTTTTACAGAAAAATAAGTCAGGAAAATTTTCCTTTAATTACATCTCTTAGTAGTCATTGAGACTAAGAGCATACCTCACTTTGTTTACATTACGTTGGAACTGGAAAGCATATTAGAGAACAATGAATTGAACTTTTGCCTATTAAATTAGAAAATATAGTCCTGGAAAAGTAAAATGACTTCCTCAGGGACACAAATTCAGATAATGACAAAACTGAGTCTGTGCCTTACTCCTTAACTAGTACTCTTTCCACTTTGATAAATAATGGTATGCTATTCAGCTTTTTGTAAACTGAATTATATTTCTAAAGCCATATAGAAGTTAGAACTGGACTCTTCAGCAGAGCTTTTCATTTAAAGCAGATTTTTTGTGCTGTGTATTTGCTGCCCTAATTTATTTGATATGAATTTTTGAATGTTTTTGTCTAAGCATTGAAGCATACCCATGTTCCTTTTGTGGCTTGGAGAAAAGAAATGCAAAGGCAGGAGCCGGTGTAGGGGAGGAAGGTGGGAGTCAGAGAATAGAGCATGGAAAGCAGGTTTGGAAGCATTTATTCAAGTATCATTTTCCTCTTAGTTTAGACAGTGTTAGACCCTTTCCATGGAAACATGCTAACAGCTTCTCAGCTTCACAATTCCATTGCTCAAAAACATTCTTCTCAACAACATTATAATTAGAAATTACAATTACCCTATTTACAATGAAAACAGATTATGAAATAATATATAATAGTGCACAAAAATTGCAGTATTCTACCACATTCCAGTAAATAAAAGGTTCAGTGAATCTCTGGGGGAAAAAAGCTTGTTTCTTTACCACTTGCCACTCTTTAATACATGAACATGAGTTATATTCTGGTGCATAAGAATTTACTGTGCATTAAAAGACACGATCCAATATTAATGTTGCTAGTGAATCAGATATAATACAGTAATAGGAATCATTGAAAGAAATGTTCCATTTATATATCTCCGTAAATATTATGCATAGTTATGAGAACACATAGAGCAAAATAATTAACGTGGCAAATTTTCAACAGAAATTCTATTGATTTTTCACCAAATGCCAAGCAATGTGTTGTAGAATCACAAAATTATTGGAAAACTAATATTATAATCATTCTAAAGTCAACTGTTTACCTATTAATAAGACAAGATTTATTCACTACATGAGGTACACAATTTCAAACAATAAGTGGGCTAAAATCATCCATTAAAATCAAGTTGCAATTCTCATAGTTATAAAAATGAAAAAGGAAATAATTATACATTATCTTATATTCAAGGAGTTTTGGGTGCCTTTCAGTGCTCTGTGCTCTCCCTGTTTCTTAGGCTTTCTATACAATAGGTAAGAGAAAAGAACAGGCTGATAGCAATAGATAGTGTCTACCTTTAAAACTTGTCCTCTTCCCCAGGTTGGTACAATAGACAATATTGATCCCCTAGTTACGATCTAACTACTACAACTTAATAGCTACAAGTTTCTTTTATGTAAATTTAAAAACAATAATAATATGCTGTGCTTTTCTTTAATTATCAATATGTAAGTGTGCACAAGATCATTAGGTAAACTATATCTCTTACTATGGATCATAACAAAAATGTTTGAAAGCCATAATTCAGAGAGTAAGGCTCCCTGGAGGTTTCATATTCAGTTACTAGATAGTATTATTGGAAAAAGAATTATATGTTACTATGTTATCACCTTAAAATTATTTTTAGGTTATTTCTAGTGCGGAAGTTATCAAAAAGAAGACCTGAGCTTGTAAGAGACAGAAGTCATAGATAGCCCATTAAACAACAAAATATTCCAAAACAAACATTCCTAATGCATATGGGATGAACATCTGCACAAGGATCTCCTTTATTCACTTTAATGAGGGATCAAAGCCAATTTAATCAAATCCATTCTTAATGAGAGGAGAAGCATCCCTACTTCTCTCTATCAGATAGGATGGTTGGGTTAAGTTTTCTAACAAGTAAGATATTTATTCTTCTTCGATTTACTTAGCCTGGATACCTAGGATTTCCTCCAGAATATTGTCCAGCCTAGGGACACCAGGGAGCATCAAAGATTTTGATGCATTTTGCTAAAAAAGAATGCTAGATAATAAATAACACCTGCATCCCAAGGGCTTTTTCTTTCTCTAGCTATCCAGCTATTTCTATCTAATGAGGTCAGAGAACAAAGAACAATGGGAAATTTCCTTCCTCAAGGCAAATCTGCCTCCCTCTTCCAGTCCCTGTACATTAATAAAAATCAACATTTAAACAGTCCTACTAGGTGCCAGACATGCTTCTGAGTGCTTCATATACATTAATTCATTCAATCCTCATAACCAGCCTGTGAGGTAGAGAACATAGTATCTCCATTTTACAGATAAGGAAACTGAGCTACATAGAGGTTAAATAAATTGCCCAAAGCCACACAAGGAGTAAGTAGTAGAGCCAGGATTCTAATCTAGGCAGTTTGATGTTGGAATCTATACCTGTAACCATACAGTTTTTATTCAGAATAAGCACTTACAGAATAGGCATCTCCTTGAAGGAAATGATGTTCTGGATATGAAATGATGTATGAAATATTCTAATTGTATAAATCTCCTAGCTTGGATCTTTCAAAATATCTATATTGTTTACAGAGAAGAGACTATACCCAGTCTACAAGCACTGGTTTCACCTCAGTTTAGCCACAAACTACAATACCTCTGTTACCTCTGTTCCTGTGAGTAAAAACTCTCCATATTTACATCTCTTAAACCACAATAACTTGGTTCTCACCTTTCCAGGCATGAGTGGGGCAAAGCTGCAAGTCCTTTGCACATTTTGGCAGGTGGCTTAGCTCCTCCGCTTTAAGTACAACTTCTTAACAGCAGAACCAGTCTTTGAAAACTTCAAAACTGTCTGGGATGCCTTTCCTTCTGAGGCATATATAGAAGCTCTTTCCCAGCCCCCTGTTGCTCTTCCAGCCAATCCAGAGCCTTAGAGGAAACTGCAGGCTGGAGAGCAGCAGCAGCAGTGGGGCGTGAGGTGGAGGAAGGAATCCTTTCTCTGCTGCAGGCACTGCTGTGGCATAAGGCTTTCATCTGCTCTTATCCCAACACTCTCTTGCTGATCGGACAGGGCAGGGTTAGACCCTAAACTGTTCACAGGCCATTAATTGTTTGAACTCATAATCTCAGGCCAATGACAGGGAAGAGGTGAGCTTTCTCGTGAAGTAAAATGCCTTGGACCACTTCAGATCGGTCAAAGTCATAGATTATTAGGACTGTAAGGGCTCCCGGAGATTGTTTAGCCCAACTTTGTTTCACAGTAAAAGAAATTGAGATCTACGGAATTCAAGGAATGTGTATGTGAGTACTTACCATATGCCAGACACTCAGCTGGATGCTAGGTATTCAGAGGAGAAAGAGAAAGCTCCCTCCCCTCAAGACCCCAAAACACAATATAAGTGGGTGATGGAGGCCGGTCTGGGATGCTGTGAGCCTTCAGGGCGCACCAGGCGAGGTTTTATGGAGCTGAGAGACAAGATTACTGTTTATATAAATCAAAACAAATATGAATAATTACTATATGCTCTTTATGAATCCATATGTCTGTGAAGGTACTAAAAAAGTGATCTGGGAGACCATACACCAAAATCTGAATAGGGATTGAGTGTAATGATAGTACCTCTGAACTCTGTTAATTCTGTAAGTGGTCTTCTGATTATTCTTTACTTGGATGACTAATGCTTTATAATTCTTTGGATCTCCCCACCCTAGCCATCCTTGCCTAGACTTGTCTTCCCTTCCCCTTCAAACTTTTCCTGCCTCCTATCACTCAAGGAATATTTACCTGAATATTTAACAAAATTTACGTGAATTATGTCTTGTCCTGTTGGGGCCCAGGGTTCTCACAAATTAATCTGTAAATGTAACTGCCTAAAAGGTAGGCATGAGTTCAAGCTAAAAACAAGTGGCACTGCATACTTTGTAAGAGAAGCTCTGAATTTGGAATTAAATATTATTCTCATAATTTTCTCCATTATTTGAAATTAGTTGTTTTAAATGACTCACTTTTTACCCTTTTGACCTACCCTTTTCAGACAATGGCTGATCAACACCTGTTAGTGGCTTGTGAAGTCAATGCAGTGTATTATGACTTGATGTTTTTAATGAAATAAATAGAACAGACAAATATCCAAGTACATTGCATATAGAAAGTATTGTTTTTTGAAATTTTGACTTTAATGATCAATATGTAAGTATGCACAGGGTCATTAAGTATACTATTTATTTTACTATGGATCATAATCAAAAAAGATTGAAAGTTGTAACTCTAACCGCACCCCCCATACACACAACCACATGTTTTCGAGACAGAGTCTAGCTCTGTTACCCAGATAGGAGACTGGAGGGCAGTGGCATGATCATAGTCACTGCATCATCAGACTCCTGGGCACAAGTGATCCTCCCACCTTAGCTTCCTAAGTAGCAGGTACTAAAGGCTCAGGCTACCGTGCCTAGCTAGTTTTTAAATTTTTTGTATTGACAGGGTCTAGTTTTGTTGTCCAGGTTGGTATTGAACTCTTTGCTTCAAGCGATCCTCATGCCTCAGCCTTCCAAAGCACTGGAATTACAGGTGTGAGCCACCATGCCCAGCCATGTATATATGAAATCCTGATACATTCACGTTTGTACCGCCAGCATCAAGCGTAATGTCAGGCACATAGACATCTGTAAATACGGAATGAGTTAAAGACAACTGTCCAAGTTCTGCCATCTACTGACTGAGTAAACATTAGCAAATCAATTAATTGCCATTTTTGAGAGATGTGGACACTGTTGTTGACCATTAAATCTAATAATGGAAATATAAAGCCTGTAGAAGAGACTCCTTGGGACAAGAGTCTAAATCACTATTTGGTACCAAGGGGCCTTGAGGAGATAATAATGTAGAAAAGAAAAACCCCAAGAATGATGTAGTGCAATGGAGGGTAAAGCCTTGGCAAGGGCTAAAAATCAAAGCATATTTCTGGCTGCCCCAGAGGAGTTCGTGTGATGGACTATCCAAGAATAGAAATTATCTCAATTTACTAAAAGAGGGGCTAGAACCCAAAATGTAAAATTCAATAGAAAGAATACTAAATCCAACACCTATTTTTTTTTAAAACTTTGTAAGGATGGGATAGCCAGAGACCATGTAAAAGAGTGTGCTCTAGAAGCAGAAAGTTAAACAGTGATTGCTAGACGTTTGAAATGGAGGAGTTGCTATTCAGTAAAGTTTCAATAGGTATAAAGTTTCAGTTATGCAAAATGAAAAACTTCTAGGGATCTGCGGTACAACATTGCACCCATAGTTAGCAGTACCATACTGTACACTTAAAAAATCTGCGAAGAGGATGGAGTTTCTGTTATGTGATTTTTTTTTAATTACAGTAAAAAAAAAAAAAGGAGAAAGTGTACTATTTAAAATAAATTTGAAGTCTTTAAAAAAATAAATTGAACTATTTTGAAATCTCCTTTCCCTCCTGAGAATTCCTCAAAAATGACAGTAAATATATGAAAAAGGTATAAATCTATGATGGCAAAGCAAAAGAGAAACAAGCCACATATTCTGTGTTATTTCAGCCACCTCTTCATGGAATGTGAAAAGGAGTGATTAGGAGTGGTACCTAATGAAACAGGGGAAGAAATTCAGGGGATGCTTCAAAGAGATTCATCCACCTGACCTGGAGGATGCCACAGGGGTTTGGGCTCCAAAGCGCTAGATACTACAGTTCTACAGAAGGCAGAAGTTAGCCGTGCAAGTGGAGGTAGTGAGATGCTGAACATTTTCATCAGATGAAAGGGTCTCCTGCCCACACAACTGCTCTGATTCATTTCTAATTCATTTCCTTAAATCATGTGTGTCTTTATTTTAACTATTATTGGCAATGTATTTATTGTGATGCATTTTATAACTTCCAATGTGGGGACCTCTGGGATTATGTGATCGATGGTGAACAAGTGTCTACTCACTAACTAATGTCCCTAATAGCAGTAAGAGTCTCACCCTAAAGCCAGCTAGGAGCACATGGAGTAAACAGAGGCAAGGTCTCACCTTCATGTTGCTTGATTTCTCTTTCTTTCTGATAAATGTTTTAAAAAACATGCAAGCTCAATTTATAATTCTACCACCCAGAAATGTATACTGTCAATGGTTGTGAAATTGCTTCCATGGCTTTTTTTATTTAAAGAAATAAAGCAGCAATGGATAAAACTAAAATCCCTGGACTTTATATTAAATATAGTCCTGGTGAATGTGCTGGCACCTTGATCTTGAATTTCCCAGCTTCCAGAATTGTGAGAAATAAATTTCTATTGTTTATAGAGCACCCAGTTTCAGGTATTTTGTTATTGCAGCAGAAACTAAGACAATATAGAGTCATTAAAAGTATATAGTTAATGTTGCCTTTTTATTTCTTAAAAAAAAAAAAAAAAAAGCACTCCCATGTCCAGTGTTTTTCCACTTTCAGCACACTCAGTACCTGTCATGATTTTGGTGTCTGGTCTTAGAGATCATTTTTTAATGTCCTCTATTCATATGTGCTATGACATGAGACTGTTTTCCTCAAAATTCATGTGGTGAAACTTAATAATCAATGTTATAATATTAAGAGGTGGGGCTGTTGGGAGGTGATTAAGCCATGAGATTGAAGCCCTCATGGATGAGATTAGATCCATTACATTATAAAAGGACTTCAGGGAGGGGGTTCATTTTCTTCTGCTTTTCTGCCATGTTAGGTGACAGCAACAAGGCACCATCTTGGAGAAGCAGAGAGCAGCTCTCATCAGACACTGAACCTGCTGGGACCTTGATCATGAACTTCCTAGCTTTCAGAACTGTGAGTAATAAATTTCTATTGTTTATAAAGCACTGAGTCTCAGGTATTTTGTTATAGTAGCACAAATAAGATCATTTGGATTCATAAAATGTGTATGGTAATTATTTGTATGTATTTTGATTTATATGAATATAATCCACACCTTTTTTCATTTAAGATTACAATTTTTTTGTTTTTTGTTTAGATTGTATGACAACTAACATTATAGAACATTTTCTATGTATCTATCACTTTATAAAACACTTCATATATTTACACATTTAATTCCCACAACGAAAGCATGAGATAAGTGGTATTATTTTTGCTATTTCAAAGAGACAAACCTCTGATCATATAAATGAAAATAAAATTGTTTAGGATTAAAAAGCATTAGTATTAACATAGAAAGTGTAAAGTCTATACCTCCAGTTTATGCTTTTTAATTGCTGGAGATAATTCTATCATATACAAATATCATTGCATTTATTTACAGATCCTTGTTAACTTTTTAGGTCATTTCTAATTGTTTGTTTCTGGCAAAAGTACCTAAATTAATATTCCTATATCTGTCTCCTGGAGCAGTTTATCTAAAATGTAGTTCATGAAGTGGAACGACTGCTGAGGGGTGTAACACTACAACATTATCACGTGGTCAGACCAACTGAGACTCCTAACAGAAACGTATGAGAGCCTCATTTTCCCCAGTATACGTCACTTGCCAAGCTTCAATTATTTCCAGTGACAGGCAAAAAACACCACGTCATTTTCATTTGTACCTTTCTAATTACTAGGGAATTTGAGCTTCTATTCATATACATATGGCCATTGTAATTTTTCTTCCATTAGTTGTATATTCCCATTTTTTACACAATCTTACTATTTGGCTTTTTAATACTGTGTTAAAAAATTCTTTATAAAAACAATGAAACTGAAAATGGGAGAAAGGAGAAAAGAAAAGTGGAATTAGATCGTTGTTGTGGGGGCGGTTAAAGGATACCAATAAAGTCGGATAAACCAGATAACAGGTTAAATAAGAAAACAGGAGATGAAAGGCATGAAGTAAAGTATATGACAAAGGTAACCATTAGAACAGAAATATAAATCCTCCTAAATACCAAAGATATAAAAGAAAGGTTAAAGAACAAAGAATAAACAGTTCATAGAGGATGAAATATAGAAAATATCAAGGAAAAATAATTATACAACATTGTGTGACAGAATTTTGAGAACAAACCTATAAGTTACATCAATAAATGTAGATATGCATCAATTTTTGATTAAAAGAAAAGTTTTAGTTAGGCTTACAAATAAAACCCAAC